GTGATTGCGCTAAATAAAAACCCATATGAATTCGAAATCTATCTGAATCGAATTGATGCAGAATTCAGAGTCCCGTCGTGACTTCGCGACATTATAGCGATCGCGACGCGATTACATATCGCGCAGCAACTCTTAAAAAAAAATTCTTTTTAAAATAAGAATCGATCAAGATCACGCCGCGACTTCGCCATATTATAGCGATCGCGACGCGAATATAAGATTTCATCGCGATCGCGCCGCGACATGCAGGATATCATAGGGATCGCGGTAGCGACACCGCGATCGCGCCGCGAATGCCCCGTGACAGCGGACCTGGGTAGTCAATTGAATCGTTATCTATACATTGAGAACTATTCAGAACTTTGCATACTATATATGCAGAACTGTGAGAACTATTCAAAACTATTCATAGAAATGATTGAGAACTATTCAGTGTTTATAGTATACATGGAGAACTATGAGAATTTTTAGATATCGCAGAGTCCAAAATATCGAGGTCTTTCATATTCCTGAGGGCACCCAGCTCCCTATTGAAACAACGCCTTTCAGACTAAGACTAAAGGTAAGCATTTTTTCCGTTGCTCTAACGTTTGATTTTTGAATGATTTTGTTATATTTTTCTGTCCACTGTATTGTTATCCTATGAACGTTGATTTGAACTGAGCAATGATAACTAGAGAGAGCAACTGCAACCGAAGAAAAAAGGATTTGAAGTTCCACAGATCAATCAAGTTTTCGTTTCCGTTAAGGCGGTTTTTAAGGATTAAAATGGCAAAATTGAGATGTTTTGACCTTCATATACATATTAAACAACACAACATATAAGAAAATAAAATATTTCTGGATTAAATGAATTACTAGTAAAACTGTTCAATAATGTGAAAACAGAAACCCTGAACATTTGATAAAATAAAATTAAAAATATCTCCTTATCATTATATTTTTATTTAATGTTGCCAGAACTTTTGGTCAACCCTAAGTAGTATTGTTTCATACGTTACTAATTTTTTCACACATCTAAATAGTATATACATGTTCTTATTGAGACGTCTTGTATCTATTTTTTATTTGACTTCCTTGTCAAATGCATCAAAGTAGTTTAAAAATCTGGATGAAAACCTCCAAATATACTCCTACACCACGAATCCAACTTTTATGATCTTAAACATCTGAATTTTTTCAAAAGATTCCATAATTTTTAACCTGCGACTTTGCTACTGTCTTGGAAAACAAGTGTGAAAGACAGAAACTTGAATAAGCAGATTGCTTTATCCATTCTAAGTTGCAGCTTTTCCTGGCTCATAATAAGCTAGACTGTCATAATGAATTTTAGCAGTCTAAAATGTAACAGAAAAGTATTTTAATCTAGCTATGGTGATTAGAACGAGTTTACTTACTTGAGATACAAGAGCGAAGCTAAAGGAAGACATTTTGCGCTAAGTTTTTCCTTTCCTCTAGGAACGTGCATGTGTATAAAAAGAAGAAAAAACAAACTTCCCTTTTTCAAAGCTAAGAAGAATCCTTTTTTAACAGCACTTTCTGGGCGTCGACACCCTGTCGTACATTATTTGCAAATAGAAGCAAGCTGTATTATCTACGAAAAACAACAACGGTATAAGAACAGAACAGAAAAAAGCAAATTTCTTTTTTTAACAGAACAGCAGACAGACGTCGAACAGAAAAAAAGGGTGCTATTTTGTGAGGGTGTATTGTGTTTACTGTGTTATACCTTTTTTACACAGTGCTTCTCTCTCTCTTCCGAGTCGGCAAACTAGCAGGCACATCGCTGTTGTCGTTTTCATTTTAATATACGGACCAGCGTCAAACTCAAAGTTAAGAAGAAACAGCTTCTTTTCCACCCAATACGCACTCTCAATATGCAGCGCAATATCATCATCGTGTTGATCATTATTATCCTCTTCCTTTTCCTCGCCAGGTAAGGTTGAATCTAAACGAGCTACGATTCTAAATAGGGACCATGTTAGTACAAAAAAAGAAGAACGCGATCTTCATCGTGTTTAAAAAAACACCTCTCCTAACCCATGCAGCAGCCCGATGCTCGCAGTTCCCAAATCAATCATAGAGCCACTGTTTTTGTGTTATCTCCTACTTTACAATTACTATAGACAGTAGACAGATAATTTTGCCCAGGCTCAAAAAGTGAAGAGCAACTATTCGATCTTTTCTTCCGTTCTATGGCAATACTATAGATGAAGTCGAATTGTTCATCTTTCCTTATAGTAAAACAGACAGAGTCCGAGTGGTGCTAGAGTTGCCTGGGTTGCCTATGCACAACCCTTGGGTCTGGCGGATGGTTGTGTAGTCAATGGTGCCCATTGTGACAAAATAGCACCCTTTTTTTCTGTTCGACGTCTGTCTGCTGTTCTGTTAAAAAAAGAAATTTGCTTTTTTCTGTTCTGTTCTTATACCGTTGTTGTTTTTCGTAGATAATACAGCTTGCTTCTATTTGCAAATAATGTACGACAGGGTGTCGACGCCCAGAAAGTGCCGTTAAAAAGGATTCTTCTTAGCTTTCAAAAAGGGAAGTTTTTTTAAAACATGAACCCGTGTTCGCTGGAGAATATCTTCTCGCTCGACTCTCTCAAGGCTATGGATATGTGAAAGAGAAGTGACTGACTCGTCTATTCTTAATTCAATAAATGTAATTTAAGGCAAAAATCAGAATCTTGCCTTGTGAAAAAAAAGACAAAACGATGAACAAACACAACGAACGTTGAATAGAGTTTGCAAAATTAAAAACTTCTCATACTTAGTTCATCGTAACATTTTCTCCACTTGGATCCTTGAAAGATATTTTTATAAATTCCAAACACGTCTTCGTTTTCCTTGCGGATCTCCGCCTCTCGGTGGTGAAACTCCAGTGTAAGAGTTCCGTAAAGTCGATCATTTCCACATGGAATATCGCCCCAGAACATTTCCATTCTATGCGTATTCTTATCAATAGTTCCAGTGGCAACATTGCACCAATGACCCGGTGGATCCTTACCAGAAAACATTAGAGTCAAACTGACTCATATAATAAGTTCCACCATTGTTACATTTCCACACTCCGGTTACTTGTTCCGTGTGCCTTGCCAATAAGCAGACACCAAAGAAGCAGCAAGTAAATAATGTAAATCTTGAGTTGATACACGTTTCCAAGATTTTGTAAGAAAAATATTTGCTTTATCGACAATTTTGTTGATGGTTGCGTAGTGCTCTGACAAGTGTATTTGAATTGAACCTGTATAGCGATCCTTCGCTATTGCTAAATCATCGAAATTTAACTTTAGGACATCATGGTCATCAATATTTCCATAGGCAACGTGTGCCCAATTATAATGACTGTTTGGTGCAGCTCGTCCATGCCAGGAAACTTTCCTGCCATATTGACATATAAAATAATTACACCCATCATCAGACAACCAAACACCAGTTAAGTTCAATGCAGTTGCTTCCACTTCGAGCGGGTACGATGTATTTTATTCCTGCCTCGATTTTGGTTTTTTGTTCGACAATTCGAAAATATGTATACGGTTTTAGTAATACTTCATCTTCGAAATTATAGGCCGACTTTTTACTTATATCACCACAACAGTGAGAAAACGTTGGAGCAATTTCAATTTGAAAAACAATATTGCATCCAGAAAAATTAGCAGCTACCGCAAAACACTTAGAAGTTGACGCAAATGCAGGCCAGAAAATAGTGCGGTTCTTCTTATACATGGCCAGCTGCTCTGGTGTCAAATAGTAGCCACGATAAACTGTGCCATGCAATGGAAGTGAGTTTAAACCAGCCATCAAAGTATGGATAAAGGGAAAGATCAAATCAAGCTGTGCCTTGTCGCCACTCGAAGACAAATGTTGAGTTTATAAACAAGAAATGTTTCTTGTGTGTATGCATATATTAGAAAAAGAGTTATATCCATTTTATCCCCGCAGCTGAAAAATACATTTTCCGGCGGGTTTGGTCTAAGTTGTAGCGGGCTACATTACATAACGCAGAACCTTGAAGTTGGTATCAAATGAAAGAGCGCGTCGAGTTCTATATATTTCGATGAAGAAAAGTTATGCTGCGCCTTGGGGTCTTGAGATTTCTGAAAAATCCGGTTTTCAAGAAAACCTAGTAATCTTAAAATTTCTTTTAGAACTTTTCCACCCTATCAGTGGATGGCCCCTTCAAGTCTTCGCAAAATGAGATGCTGGCCAAGTTTCTACGATCTTGGACGACCAAGTGACAGGTTTTTTCCGATTACGAATATAAACTCATTTGCTTTTCCGGTTGTTAGTAGGAGTATTGTTTTATTTAAACTTTGATGCATATGTTGAAGGGGAAATTAGAATTTAGGGCAATTTAGAACTGCCCTAGGGGAAATTGAAATTCTAATCAATCTCCTCTAGCGCAAATTGGAATAGTACTTTTTCTCTAATATTTTTGAAGCAAAAAATGACAGATTCAAATTTCCCCTAGGGCAAACTAGAATTCTAGTTCCCCCTATAGGGGAATTCTCAATTCTCCTAGAGTAAAACAAATCTACTACTATTCTAGTTTCCTCTTACAAGGGAAGCCCACCAAGTGTTCCCTGGTTTTGAGCTGAGATCGAGCATGCTGATTCCGAATTTCATAATAGTTTGGGCTAATATTCCAAATATTTCATATAGTTTTGGCTAATATTCCAGTTTCTCCTAACGACGAAAGGCCACCAAGTGTTCCCTGGCTTTTGAGCTGACGAGGAAAGGACACTAACTGGCAAATCGCTTTTGGCCTAAAACTAAGTGGAAAATAGGTAATCGACTATGCTGATTCCGAATATAACAATGATTTGGGCTGATAGGCCTTTCGAGACCGGGTCCCTGGAAACCTGGTTTTCCAAGGCAAAAGTTTTATCGTTTCTAAAAACTTTTCCGACTCGGCCAGATGAAAGAGCATTTCGCGAAAGCTATTAAAAACATATTTTCAAAATTTTCCGAAGGTTTTCAGACACTTTTTGGAGGCTGAATCTTGGATTTTTCTGGAAAGTGTTACGAAAACTGTCGAAAAACCTTCGGAAAATTTTGAAAATATGTTTTTTATAGCTTTCGCGAAATGCTCTTTCATCTGGCCGAGTCGGAAAAGTTTTTAGAAACGATAAAACTTTTGCCTTGGAAAAGCAGGTTTCCAGGGACCCGGTCTCCAAAGGCCTATCAGCCCAAATCATTGTCATATTCGGAATCAGCATAGTCGATTGCCTGTTTTCCACTTAGTTTTAGGCCAAAAGCGATTTGCCAGTTAGTGTCCATGAGTTTTATCCAGTCGTGCCAAAAAACCGGAAAAAATTTCTGCAATAGTTTACATTATTCACACTTTATCGATTTCATCTGAAGAAAAACAAAATGCAGCGATTCCATGACCCCCACCCCCTAACAGAAGACCATCCCTCATCAGAAGGATGCTCTATACCCACCTCTAGGGCAGTTTTCAAGAAAATTTCGCCGAAGTAGTCTTTCTAATAGGACAATAATTTCGTTACGGTGCGGATCCAAATATCCAGAATTATAGGAAAGAATATACCAGTATCCACGTTGCAACTTACGGTTTACATAATATTTATATTTTAGATTATTTAGTAAAAGTTGGTGCTGCTAATATAAATGCAAGAACGTTCACTCAACGTACTCCACTGTATACATTTTTAACTTCTTTACGAACAACTAAAGACGATATTGATTGGGAAAAAGTTGATTATTTTATTAAATCTTTAGTACATTTGGGATGTGAGATAAACCAAACAGTTATTGATAAAACAACTGTACTTCATTTTGCGGCTGAAATGCTTCCTGTTAATTGTTGTCAAAGTCTTTTAGAGGCTAACGCATCTATAAGTGTTCTCGATTATTTCAAACGAACAACTCGTCATCCTGCTGCAAAAAAATTTTATCATGGCGCTGAAATAATTAAATTACTTTATAGATATGGCGCGGATATTCATGCACAAGATAGTTTTCAATATCTACCTGCCCATTATGCAGCTGCTGCGGGAAATTTCTCGGCATCAAAACAATTTGCAAGTTACAAGACAAATTTAGAAGCAAAGGGAAATTTATCAATTACACCTCTTCATTTAGCAGCCGATGTTGGGTATATTAGTTTGCTATCTTGTTTTCTTAATTTTGATGTTAGGGATGAATGGCAAGCTACTCCACTACATTATGCTGCATATAGCGATAATGTATAGATAATTGAAACAATGCTAAAAGCCGGTGTTGACAAGCGTTTATGTGATATCGACAATCGGACATCGTTTGATTATGCTCAGATTATGCATCATACAAAAGTGATCGAATTACTAGCGATAGATCAAAGAGAAGTGATCGATTTTGGTAAATTGGTGTCTAGAAAATTACAACTAAAACACGATATTTCATCAACATTAACAGAATACTATCATATAATTCAAACAGTGCTTGAAAACAAATTCACTAATGAAGATGACATTACTTGTGCTATACTTGATACACCTGGTTTAGGTTTAGTCCATTTTGAAGGTGAAAATAATATGATATTGTTATCGGTAACAATTTATTCAAGGTATTTGTAATAGAATTCAAGATTTATATAGACGATTTAAAAATATAATTATTACACCTGGTAGTGCATATGAAAACGTAAAAGTTGATTATCCAGATGAATTTGACATAATGTGTTCACTGACTAATATGAGTAAGCTAGTAAATTACCTTGAATATTGTTCAGTTCTTGGATTTGTAAAACCAGAAGTAAGAAACAAGATAAATGAAAGTTACCAAGGATTTATAACGAAATCAGGATGTTTAAATGGACATTCTGTATTGTTTCTATTTGTTACTAGCACAAGCAATATTTGATGTTTGCCCATTGCTCACTGATCTTAACCTTTTTTATGAACCATTAGAATATGATCAACTTGATCATTTGCAAAGTACAGTTGCTAATTTAATATTTTTACCAAAAACTGATTTAACTTGGAGAGGAAAACATTATAAACATTTATCCATATCTGTGGATGTTACTCCAGCCATATTTATTTTCAATGAAAAAAAATCAATGCCGTTTGTACGTGAGTATAGTGCAGTTTTAGGATATTTATCTCATTTTGACAAACTAATAATTCCAAAAATAAATCGAACTTGCTCAAATATTACTGGCGAACAAGACGATAGAGAATCAATTTGGCGTTTATCTTTTTCTCATATTGAATATGAAATAATGAGTAAAATCTCAAATGAAATAAAACAAGGATATAAAATAGCAAAAGCATTTCGATTAGATTCTCTATCTTGTACACTATTTTTACCAATTATGTCAATAGTACTAGTTGCTGATGATTATAAACAAGATATATGGCCTGAATTTGAACGAGGCGATTGTTTAATGTTTAACGATGAAAATAAGTTAGAATGTTCAGATGATGATTCAGCTGGTGTAGAATTTGGTGCAACACATGCTATTCAAAGTTATCATTTAAAAAATATTTTTTTAGCATATATTGACAAATTATTTTTGAAATAACAAATTACAAATTGTTATTCACCACTTCAAGTAGCTAGTGATCTATATGAAAAGTTATTAATGTGATGGAAAATGTGAACTCTATCCATATTGGCTTTTAAAACAAAGTCTTTATTGTTATAATATAACATATTCAAATCAAAATACGCAAGGAATTAGATTAAATGACTTGTTTATTGATTGTATATTAAAAATAATGAAGCTCATTAAAAATTGGTATATTGCAGATAAGAATACCAGTTTCTAAAAGAAAGATGATCCTTTCAGATGTAATTAAACTCTGTCGGTTTCAGTAAATGACAAACGCTTCATTTTCCTTTCAGATTGTTTTTTCGTTTTAGATTATCCACAGTCATCGTCGAATCACAATAGTGTCCGAGTGTGTGGAATTATAAAATCCCGGGACTCACCCGGACCACCTCGGACGCGTCCGAGACATCCGGAGACGCGTCCCTCGAACTTAGTAAATCTGTGTAGGTAAACAGGTCTCTCGAATCAAAAGTTCAACTTGAGTCAAGACCTTTTTAATCCGAAAGACACTACTAAATTAGCGACATGGAAATAAAAAAAGACGGATGAAAATCCGATTCAAACTCACATCTCTCTTCGTGATAAAGATACCGCTGTCACACAGCGGGGAATAACGTGGACATTTGGAGAAAAAACGAAAGTGAGATTTTTTGTGTTAGTGCTAGATATACATTAGCCTATGGCCAATTCACTGATGAAAAAATCTCGATCCAGGTGGATAAGTTCACCGACAAAGGTGACTGCCAATTTTTTGCCCGTTTTGTAGGGTGTCTGAAAAAAAACCGTTTTCTACCCACCTATAACAAATGTTAAAAAAAATGAAACACATACATTCTGAAAGCTGAGCATTTGGGCTATCGACTTATAAAAAAAGCTTTTTTGTAGATACTTGGTGTTGGAGAAAAATACGTTTTTCGTTATGAAAGACGTTTTCTTCATACATGTGTTTAATAAAATGAGTTTCCACAATTTTTCACAACTTCAATTAAGCTGAAACTTTCAGTAAATGTTTCCCCACAGGTAATGCATCTACTAAACATGCGGAAAGACGCAGTTTTCTTCCCTTGCAGAGTTATAGGTTTTCCAAAAATCCTGGTTTTTCGCCGGTTTTTCGCGTATCTCTCGCCACAGCAACGCTTTAGCTAAAACGTCTTTTGACCACCTTCAACGAATGTTTGCTCAATTTTTCTAAAAACAACGATTTTCCGAGAACGTTTCCAAAGTTTAAGCTGATCTTTTGGCATTGCGTCTGTAAGCGTTCGAAAATTGTGAAATCCAGTTTTCTGTAGGTTTTTGACTATGGCAAATCTAATGGTACCATTTAAAAATTTTCAAAATGGTTTTTCGAAGGTTTTCTAGAGACCAGATCCTTGAAAAACCACCAGAAAACCAGTTTTTTGAGATCATAAGAAGGAATGCACACAAAGACTTATCAAAAACATGTTTTTCAGTTCAGCAAATCGTTCTGAAACAATGTCCATGTGCTTATCGAAAATTCCTCACTGTGTGTTATTCTTTTAAGTCAGCATCGGATATCTTCTGGTAGTGTAGGATAATTTCAGTTTTGCTAGCATGATATCTTCCAAAATTCTCGGTAGTGACCGTCGGTAACCGGGCGGTCTTTTCTCTGCATAAGGTTAGTCTAGAAAAAGCTGTTTGTATCTGTAACTGAACGTACTACTAAAGGCAGCAATATAGGTAAAAATACACGCAAAAAGACGGATTCATATATGTTGGCTGCGATAGGGAAAGTGAAGACTGAGATCGCTTACTGTCGAATTAGCTTTCCAAAGAAAAAAATAACTTACACTCCAATTCCGTACAGTTAAAAGTTTGCTTTTTATTTTTTTCTGATAAATTCACGCTAAAGATTTGGAAATAATTTCAGCTATTCTACAAAGGGTAGATAGGGGAGAGCTGTCCAATTATCGTTATCAAGATAATGCGTATATAACGATGCGTGTTCTTTACGACGCGGTAATCGAACTCACTGCATACATTTAGAGTAAACTTAAACCAATAAGAATTCAGGTAAATACTAGTGGCATAGCCACCGGGTGGGCTTAGCCCCCCCACTAATTGGTTCCGCCCCGCGTACCGTGATTTGTCGTCGTAGGAACCATTTTCAAAATACACATTTATATACCATTCGATAGCCCTTTGAAAGGGCTACATTTCCCACTATTTGTATTTGAACTAGGAGCAACTCATTGTGGAAACTCATTTATCGAATTTCTATCCTATTCGACTACTTTAATTTTTTTCGAATTCTTGCGTTATGGTTCGTTGCAAAAAGATCGAGATTTTCACAAAAAAATGACAATCAACTAAACATTTCGAAATACACATCATTCGGCTCAGTTTATGATCCTGATTCCGACTATGCTGTTTTTATTCCAGAGAAACTGAGTTCTGCTAGAGAAAATCGAGAATTACGGGCAGAATTCTGACTTTTTCGCCTCTGATTTACGAAAAATAGAATATTTCAGCAAAAAAACAATATTTTCAAAAACTCTCTTCATATTTTTAAAGCTTGGAAGTTGGGCCACCTTTCCATATATAATTCAAAAGGCTAGCCCTTCTCAGAAAAAACTAGTAGGGATTTTGAGGACAAGGTCTCACTTTTCGACCTTTCCCTGTTTCGAGTCTCGCTAAAATTCAAAATAACGGTTGATGGATCGGAAATTAGTTGGTCTAAAATTAGTTTTCAACGCGGAACTCAAATCTGAAAACCGGGAGGGAGTAGCACAAACCAAAAGAAAGCTATAGAGGTTTTTCTGAAAACAAAATTTTTTTGGTCTTTTCCAGTATTTTTCATTTTTCTTCGAAAAAACAGCCTATAAAAAAAAGACTAAGATGTTATCGTTTGTGTGCCGCAAAATGAGTTATTACTACTGAAGAAGTGTGGCAGCAGGGTTCTGATATGGAAGTGACAGAAAATCAAGTAAAAATTTCTTATATTTCTACCACTTTGGAAAAATTTGGGGCAACGACCACCCACTAACAAAATCCGAGGTGTTCACAATAGAGAGGTGTTCACTAATAGAGGTTTTTTACTGTATAATGAAGGAATGCTACTAGCATGGAAAGTAAATATTGATATTCAATTTATCTTAGACCCTTACGGGTGTGCAAATTCTAATTTCAAGTGTTGTGAGCGTAAACCAAAATTTACATAGTGCGGTCTTTTTCAGTTTCATTTATTTTTCAGAAAACTTTTGACACCTTTGTCCGAAAAAGTCATTTTCTTGAAAAAAAATCACTAAATTATTCCGAAACTCGATTTAGAACATGTTTTTAGAGTAGAATTAAAGTTATAGTGTAATAAAACGGGTTTAAAGATGTTTAAGAAGGGGGGCTGCCACACACACACACATTTTTATTTGAATATGTTGTACAGTTCGATGGGGAAAAAGCTTTTGGCACAAAAAATGTGCGCAATGGCCGACTGCGGGGGTAACGTTGTCTGATTTTTAAAATTTTCTTCCATTTGTTTTAAATTTAAATTATTTTAAGATTTAAATTTCATTGTTTTCAAAATTTTTCCATTAACTCTGAAAAACAGGCAACGTTACCCCCCGTATTCGACCACAATTTTTGTAGCAGGACTTTTACTCCATCATGCTTCGTTATTGCAGGATTTTTGGCAGGAGTTTCACACTGCAGTTAAAAACCCTTTCTAAAAACCGATTTTTAGCTAAATCCATCCACTGCTTCATGTTCGAACAAAACTTTTGCTACAAAAATTTATCTACATGAGAACCTGTGTCAAACTTTAGGTTCGTTTGCAAAAAATTTCAACGGTTTTTAAATTTAAAACTTTAAAATTTAACAGTCGTTAAAATACGTGGATTTTGATTTAAATTTTTTCGTCTTGAGGTTCAGTGCAAAAAGCGTATACTGAACGGTAATAGGCCATGGCAAATCTAACCGAAATATGTTGGAGAACTGTACGAGATCTTCAGGATGCCTCTGAAAAACCGTTTTTAACAAAGTAAAAGTTGAAGCTACAACACAGGGTAATTATAGGGTAATCAATTATGTTGTATCGTAATGAATCATTACAAGAGTTTATAAAACTAGTTCATAAAACTGACTTTTCGCTAGATTTTTAAAATTTTTTCTAAAAATAAATATTGTCACGAAACTCAGCATGGTCGATTACCCATAGTGCATCCGTCTTTAAGGCTACCAATAATCACCAGGTGCCAGCCCCGGGACTCATAGGAAATTCGATAGAACGCCCGAACTGCGGAAAATCGAGGTCTGTCTTTACTCCTACTTTGAAGACACCTCGAGCTATCATCCCATGAGAAAAAAGCAATGCAATCCTATTGGAAATTTTTTACAGACATAAATGCACCTATGATTGGACCTGAAAAGAAATGATTCTACATGGAAACCCCGATTACCAGACATTTGGGCACCGACGTTTGGATGCAGCGACATTGGGCGCATCTACGACAAAAGCAAACAGAAGTAGTGCATTTGTTAAAGTATGCTGCAAAACGATGAAATTCTCTTTAAACAAACTTTTTATGCTGTGAGAGCTTTTTCTACAGGGTGTTGCATAACCTTTTTCCAGGGGGGTAACGACGTGGTTTTAAAGTAGGTACCTAATGAATTTTATACCAAATGAAAAACCGTAAAAAACTTGATCTAGGACTATAGTTAACAATTCAATAGATGCAGATAGTCAATCCAAGCTATAAATGTACAGGATTGTGGTTACTTTTTTGCGAAGAAAATAAAGTATCAAGTAAATGTGGTTCAGTTATAAATGATATATCAAGCGAACCTTTTATTTGATTTGAATAGAAATGATACATCAATATCTATTGTGACCGCCGTTGGCTTCACGTACGGCTTTTAATCGCTGAAGATACGATTTCAACAGACTTTCGAAAAGTTCTTTCATTTTCAAGCTCATGAAGAACATTTTGAAGATGTTCAAGCAAAACGACTGAAGA